TTTGCTGAAGACCACACTGTCCTCTGTTGTATTAACCTGCTTCCCAGCACTTATTTCTGCTATGTGCCCTGCCGCCACAGGCATTGGGAATTGTGCTGCCTTCTTCTCCAGCCTCAGCTACAGTCCATCTCTGCCTTGTTCTCTGGCCACATGAGTCTGCTTTCCATTCCTTCCATGCCCTGAGCTCCTCACCTCAGCATGCCATTCAGACTTAGTGACACAGCTGCCAACGTGTCATCTCCTCTCATCCCCTTTTTCCTCCCTTTGCACCTGTCTGATGCTGTGTACCCTTCAGGACTCACGTTCAAGGTCACTGCCTCAGGGAAGCCATCATTCCCACCCGAAGTTTAGCCATCCCTGTTAGACATTTTCTTGGCCTCCTTTCTTCTCTGTCATACCACTTATTACACTTGTAGCAACTGTATATCGTCAATTCTAAAACTCATATATTTTTCACATTTTAATCTTTCTGAACTTGCTAAGTGTGTTATAATGATCAGTGACTTACAATTAACGGTGTGGCTTGCAATTAATGGAAGTTTAGATTTGATGAAACTGAGTAAATATTTACCTGTAAGGACATTTGTGTAATATCTGTCTCTGTCACTACAGTTTACGTGGCCTGAAAGCCGGGGCTGTGGCTCTCTTGTTCCCCTGTATCCTCAGTGCCAGCAATGTCAGGCTTGTCACTGATGCTCTGTACACATTTGTGGACTGAATGAATGGATGAGGGTGTAAAGTAGGACTTTGTTGTATAGATCCTGCATTGCATTCTCTCAGGGGTTTAATTTTGCAGGATTTGATGAGTTTATGTTCTTTCCTGACTAAATCCTTTAGGGCTTTGAAAGTTTGCCCTCTTTCCCTTAACCTTTGTCTTATGGACTGAAGAGATTGTACTTGCTCATTATGTCTTCATGTAGAAACGCCTTCATCCTTTTGGGGAATTGCCTTAGTCGTTTCTGGGACTTTTGCAGTGGTCTGGACTGTCATGGCTTGGGATAACATAGTGTTTTCCGATTCATTTCTTGTCCTCTTATAATTCCCTGTGTTTTGTTAATACTTTTGTTTGTTGGGCCAGTCAGACTGGTATTAGGAAGAATGATCCTCTGTGTCCTTTTAAGTCCTGCTTAAAAAATTGTGCTTTGTATCTAGACCTCTAGGGTCCTGTGGAAGTATGCAGGCGCTCTGCAGGACAGCTTCAAGAGCAAATATGGTTGCTTTCATGAAACGTATCCATTCCTAGCCTTACTTTTTTTTTCTCTCTCTAAATTATATGCTCATTTCATTCAGCAGGATTGAATTTATTCACAAGTACAAGAAAAGATCATGCCAAAAGCAGAATATAAGTGCAGGTGTCGCTGCTATATCTTGAAAACATAGTATGTTTGTCTTGAAGTGTCCCATAGGAGGAAAGAAGACAGAGAATAACCATCCCAACTCTTATTACCTAAATGCTATTATTTTCATTAACTCAGATCCCATTTTTCCCACATCATTATACAAACTGGTATAAGCTTTTCTTTATTACTATTTTGACATTGATTATTAAACTTAGAAAAATCCATTGACCCACACATTCTTTTGTTTAATAGAAAGGTGGTGTGACCTTAACAATTTTTGAAAATGAATTTATTGGGTTACTTTCCAGGAGCTTAAGTGAGAAGTCAGCATTTATAATCTATACTTAGAGTATTATTTGTATGATTTCCCCTAGAGGCATCATATTCCTCTTTCCAGCAGTGAGCTTCTGGCTGGTTTTCCTGCTCTCTTGCATGTTGATGACATCTTCATTCCACAGTCTCCCCACCCCGCCTTCCTTCCTGCTAGTCTGGCCTTCCCAACCCGCAAGAGCTTAGTGTTGCCTGAAGACTTGCGGGTTTCCCTGTGCTTTGTCTCTTCCAGATTAGTTATAAACAGGCTAAATAAGATGAATTTTACCCTAATCTCTGACAATGCTGCTGTTTTGTTTTTTATTTAATTAAGAAAGAGCCAAAACATAAAACATTTCTCCTTTTCTTTCAATATGTATTTTAAAACTCACAGTCTGTGTACAAAGATTTTTTGAGAGTCTGAAATGTGTGCACACATTTCATATTGGTTATACACTTTGCCCCAGAAGTTGAAATTATACATAAATTTTATATGCGAAATATATACATAAATATGTCTGTACATGTGTATATAGGTGCATATATAACACATGTTTATGCATGGGTATATATATACACACACACAGAACTCTGTACTAGCTATAAAATGTCCTTTTTATTTTTGCAACACAACTATTGAGCAGACACAGAATGGGAGTGTGGTCAGAAAAAAGTGCCTTGGAAATCAGAAAGCTAAAGCTTCCAGCTTAGCTGTATCCTTGACCGAATGTATGACCATGGGCAAATTATTAGACCTGCTTGGTCTTTAGCATTTTCTTTTCCTTCTTTCTTTTTTTGGTAATAAGAGAGGGTAGGATTAGATCAGTGGTTCTCATCTCTGATTGTATATTAGAAGTACTTGGGAAATTTCAAAAAATGCAGATGCCTAGGCCCTACCAAGAGATTCTGGTATTTAAAAAAAATCTCCCCTGTGAGTCTAATATGCATTCAGGGTAAAGAACTGCCAACTAGACAAACTAGGCTCTCCCCTGGTCTGTGAGTCTCTTATTTTATTTCTCCTTCCTAAGACAGGATGGGCCAGGCCAACAGAACCCTGTAGGATGAGCTATTCCTTTTGTTGGATTCATCAAATACATGTGATTGTGTAGAACACTCAGAGTTGAAGAGTCCTTAGTGGCAGCCCATTAACCTCCACACGTGGTGTCTACCTGTGCACTCAAGCGTGGAGCCTCCTGGCGGTCACGGTCCCCTACCACTCTCTTTTTATAGTTGAGGACGCCTGAGTCTTCATGCTTCGTAGGACTCTCAGAGATGGTCCATGTCAGGAAAGAATGAGAGCTCCCAGCTCATGTATTTCCTCCACGTGGCCTTGAACTAGTGACCAACAGCCATAGTTTACTTCCCATCACTAACCTTTTTGCCAGTCATCCTTTTTAAACTTTTTGGTCTCTAATTTCCCTCTCTTGACCACCCTGTAACCTCTAATCTCTATGATCTCTGAAATACCAAGAAATACATTTTATTGACAGAGTGGTTACTTAAAAAAAGAATAACAGTTTTTAAGCATATTAGGTTCTAATTACCTCTGAACCTGTGGGTTGACCAGTGAATACATGATATATATTATTAACACAATGGCAACTTAAAAAAAAGAAAGAAAGAAAAATTTCATGTATATTAGGGTTCCTTCCTCAAAAATGTTTCTTTTAATTCTTTCCCCACTCCCACTGCCACCACCCGTACTTGAATCCATCTTCCTTCATTCCAGGCTCTTCTTCTAGAATAAGAATGGTGGCTGTTGTTGATGGTAGGCCCTATGATGAGCACTTTCAGTATCTCATTTAAACCGCATAAAAGGGGGGTTAAAGATAAGGAAGCCAGGGCTCCTAGAGCTCAACATCTACCGAGGGGCAGCCATAGCATTTACTAGCTGCTGTCTATGCATTATCACACCCAATCCTTCCAGTAACCACTTTACATTTTACCAAGGACTAAATTGTGGATTCAGATGTTCTATATTTTCCCACAGTCACAAAGGTATTACAGTCAGCCTTCTATATCCAAGGGTCTGCATCCGCAAATTCAACCAACCACAGATGGAAAATATTTGGGAAAAAATTTCCAGAAAGTGCCACAGAGCAAAACTTGAATTTGTTGCATGCTGGCAACTATTTACATAGCATTTACGTGGTATTAGATATTATAACTAATCTAGAGGTGATTTAAAGTATAACTAATCTAGAGGTGATTTAAAGTATCCGGCAGGATATGAGTAGATTATATGCAAATACCGTGCCATTTTATATACGGGACTCGAGCATCTACAGATTTTGGTATTTGCGAGGGCTCTGGAACCAACGCCCATTGGATACCAAGGGATAGCTGTGAATAGTGGAGTTTAAGTTTAGGCCATCTCGACCTCTAAGCCATAATGCTATTACTGTTAGGATGGTTACTTCCATTGTCCTCATTTTACAGATGAGGAAACAGAGGCACAGGGAGATTGTGTAACTTGCCTAAGGTCACCAAGCTGATAAAAGGCAGAGTCAGGATTTGAACATAGATCTTTCTGATTCCAAAGCCCGAGTGTCAAGCACCGAGCTCCAAGATTGAGTACTCTGTCACCTCCCACTCTTACCTTACACACTGCACCCTGTCTGTGCATCGTGCCTCATTTGGGCCCTTCGTGAACACTAATTCTTTTCTTGCTGTTCCTCTGGTCAGAAACAGTCAGTGTCTATTTCTTAGGCCTGAAGTCTTCTGTTTATTTATTTGGACATTAAAGGCCCTCTGAGATCTGCCCCCCGAAAGCCCACGCTGTGCTCGGTCAGCTCGATTCCCGTGCCATCCCACCAGCGTGCCAGACTTCTGTCTCCAGGCGTCTTTCATAGGGTTGCCTTCATCTCTTCAGCCAGTTTTTCTTGAAAACCTGTTTTGTGCTGGCAGGGTTGGATGGAAGGCCTGAAATCCTGAAGGCTTGAATCTACCTTCTCTGCTCAAGGCCACCCTCTCTGGGGAGCCCCACCTTTCTCTCCCTGTCTCTTGCTGTACCTCCCATCTGAGAACCCCCAAATCTAGGCTGCAGTGTGGAGCCTCATTATGGAGTCTTTTTTATCTCAAGTCATAAGTGAGCTCTGTGAGGGCAAAGACCATGTATGAAAAATCTCGAGCAGAAAATAGGTGCTTAATAAATATAGGCATTGAATGAGTTCATTTGTGGTAATTGTGCTTGTCCCCTTAAATCAAATTGTCTGCTCTATGTCCATTCTGAGTCCAGAAAAACCAATTTTTAAACTGTTGACTTATAGGAATTTTTTAGAAGTGTGTGTTATCATGCTTATTTGAAGGGCTAATAAAACTGATCTTCTCAACCCCTTGCTGTTCTCCCAGTAAATGTCCCCTCGACGGTCATGGAAGCCATGTGCAGACAGGACCCCCTGCAGCCCTTCAACAAGAGCAGCAAACTCTCCCCCGCCGCCCAGCAGCGCTCCGTCGTCTTCCCGCAGACTCCGTGCGGCAGGAACTTCTCCCTCCTGGATAAGTCTGGGCCCATGGAATCAGGATTTAATCAAATCAACGTGAAAAACCAGCGAGTCCTTGCAAGCCCGACCTCCACCAGCCAGCTCCACTCGGAGTTCAGTGACTGGCATCTTTGGAAGTGCGGGCAGTGCTTTAAGACTTTCACACAGAGGATCCTGTTACAGATGCACGTGTGCACGCAGAACCCCGACAGGTAACCCCACCTCTCATTGCTCACCGGCTGTGTTTGCTTCTGAGACTCACTGCTTGCCTTCCTGTCGCCTCCTCCAGTCACACCTCGGGGAGAACTCTGTGATCAGAGGTCTGCATTCTGGAAGGTCAGAGAGTAATGTTGGGCCCCTCTTTGGCTTTATTGTGTAGAAGGGCTGCATGAGCAGTGGCTGCAGAAAGGAATCTGCTGTCGCTTTCTAAACAGCTCTGCCCAGGTCTAACGGGAGGCAAAATAGAAGGCACATTGATGAATATCATAGATGGAAAAATGAGGTCAGGATAATTAGAATCCTCTCTGTCTTCCAAAGATAATATAGCTGGCCGCTCTGCTGCTGTTCAGTCGTCTCAGGGTTCACCTCCAGTGTGCCGTGGGTATGAACTTAATTAAGTACTAAGAGGTAATGAATTGGAATTTTTTGCTTAGTACTATTTTTCTTCAGAGCATGCAAACCCATAAATCCTGCAAAGCTGTCAAAAGGAAATACCTACTCTGCTAGTGATGTGGAGGAAAACAGATGCCACTTATTCAATAAACTAATATCCACACAGAAGAAAAATGTTGACTAGATACCTCAGAGTCAAAGTTGCTTTGAAAGTTTGTCAATAAAGAATTTTATGGCCATGAACTGAGGATGAAATTCAGCTGAACAAGTGAATTAAAATTTCAGGTACTCTGACAAGTGGCACAGTAGATATAATGGAACTATTATTTATGAGTCAAAACTGGTTTATTCGACAGTCTTGATAGCTGGGAGTGCAAAAGACAAAAATCAAATTAATTCAATAAGAAAGGACAGTGTTTTATCTCCCCTTCACATCCTATGAAAATTTGATTAAACCCCAAATATCTAAGAATATTTTGAGTATAAAAGCAGAAAGTAAATTTTGGAAGTAGGATAGGAGACTCGAAAGCAGGACTCTGGAATTATTTTCTTAATTTGGCCACTGATTAACCTTAAGCCACTCAGCTCTCCTTGCCTTATGATATACACCCAACTCTCCCCTCCCAGCTCTGCAGGATACGACAGTGTACTCGAACCCAAGCAGGCAGGGAGGATAGAAGTGTGGTGGAGAGGGGGTGAATCTTTTCAGAAATAATAATGATCCATTTTAGGGTACATGTGCACATTTACATGTGTATATATTTTTATTTGTGCCATTCTAGAAACTACTTGCTTGGCATCAAGCATTGCTGTGACTGATTGATGTTGAAGCATTTGTATTACAGCTGTTAAGGTGGTTGTGTCTTTATAATCTTTTACCTTCAATAGGAGAGTCCCCTGGTGAAAATATCCACGGACTTCTGCATATCTTAGTACTACTGGCTTTAGAAGGGACACAAAAGTTTTGAAAATGTTTTCCTTACTCCAACAGGGTTTTTTTTTTTTAAAGTCTGCCTTCCTTGCAAGTATACAGATAGCCTCAAGATATATCTATTCAGAGTTTGCAAAGCATTTTATTTTTTTAAATATAAAAATGCATTAAAATCTTGTTATTATAAACGCTTTTTGAATTGAATGAGTTTAGGTATATGGATCTGTTATTTGCACAGGTTCATTGTGGTCATAGTAACTGAACATACAAGGTAAGATGAAATGATAGTTGAAAGTTTCTGGATACAGGAACAGAAAGCTTAGCTTTGGGTATGATACAGTTTCATACTGAATGTCATATAAAACAATGAAAATATGTCTTGGTAAACAGAAAGTTAGCAAAACAGACTATTTTGTCTGACCCCAGTTACACTTCGAAAACTGTATGTGGATTATGGTTTAAGTCCCTATGAAGTCTGTTCTGTCAAATAATAATGTCAGAATTTATAAAGCATCTATGTAATCTGTCAGAAAAGTACCCTACAAATTAGAAAACTTACATGTACAAAATAGACTTCCACGAGAGACTGTTAGGTCATCGCTGATTCCAAGCTAATCTGGAGTTACTGGCAAAAATCCAAGTGGCTTGAGACTCCCATCCAGTGCGAGACCCTGGTGGGCTTATTTGATGCAGATGCCCAGGTGTCGTTTGGCCAGGTTCCCAGATGAGGTGAAGTAATGTGCTTGATATTCAGGTAGATCACCAGGGTGGAATCACATTATTAAAGCAGTGGGTTCCTACTTCTCTCTTCCCTGTGCTTTGTTGGTGAAGACTTAAGAGGTGGTATGATTCACCGTCATTCATGAATAAGTTAAAACTAAGAATTATAAGTTCAAAGAATTAGTCCCTTTATAGGCAAAGTAAGAAAGTACAATGTTTCTTACTAGTAATGGGGAGATGCTTGAATTACTCCATCACATCTGAGTTGATTGCTGGAGATAAGGGAAATAGAGATGCCCAGTCTCTTTGACCCACTAGTTTCATTGAGATACATAATTTCATTGAGTTACATAATTTGCTTTTAGCATATATGTTCTGTATGGTGTTCTAGAACCTAGCATGCTCTCCTGGTACCGGCAAGTTTTGAAGTACAAGATACTTTCCCTAATTCTTGACCACACAGGTGAATTGCTAAAGAGGAGAAACATGCAGAACTAAAATGAAACATCAGTTTGTGCACGGTTGTGAAATTTGGAGTCATTCCTCTTATTATCCATGTGGAGACTTACAACTGCTGAATATACATATTTTCTTTAGTGATTGACTCCATAAATTCGGTGGCTTTTAGTTTTTGGCGGTTTGTGCCCATTCAGCCATATACAGTGAAAAAGCTTAGAACCTGCCAGTCAGAAACCATTTCCCTTCTATTTGAAAAACTCAAACGTTTTATTTTGCTAGGAAAATCTTGCTAGAACTAGAGGCAAGAAAGGGAGACACAGAAGACAAAGTCAGAAAGTAAACAGGTTAGAGTTTCAAACACGTCCAAATTTGAAACAGGCCCCCGAATCTTAGGTCCAAAAGATTTTTCACTCAGCACACTGAATATTTGGCCATGAAACCCAAGACATTTGAACCTTCATGAAAGAGACTGTGTGTGTCTTTATTTGTGAGCTTTTTCATGTGAGGGACCATCAGTAAGTCTATGCCTTGATATAAAGGAAGGAGATCCGAGGATACCCTGGGTTGTCAGCATTACCATTTTTCACTACCGTGTTATTTACATTGAACGCAGAAAAAAATTCCATTTGACCTTTCAAAGTAGGAATTAGCATTAAAGATAAAAACATACCCGTATGAGAGCCCAGGAGGCACAGAATCGTTATTTCTTGATTTTATTCTGTTAATATTAAACATACAAAACCAAAAGTCTCTTCTTTTTTCTCAAGCTACTGACTTTTTCTTTCCTGAGTGAATTCAAAGGGAAGAAGCTGTCGGAATCTAGATTAACCTAGATCTAGACTAAGGACTAGGGACTTAGGGACCTCATAAACATTTGAGGTTTGGCATAAGCTTATTACCTGGGCCAGGGCAGCTTGACTGACTTGTGCCTGAAACAGGAATTAGAAATCCCTTTTCTCTTCTGTTTTTCTGCTACAGAAACTCTCAACAGTCCCATTTGGGGGCGGGGGCAGTCCAGAAAGGGGTAAGCAATGCTTTCAATCATAGTGGATTATTTTCTGATGGATATGTTCTCTTTTATTTTCTGCAGAATGTCTTTTTAGTGCTTATCTTTATTTTGCATCCTTTTCCTTTCCTTTCTGATTGTGCTACCTGGGGAAAGTTTGCCTTTAGCCTCCTGGGCATACTGTCAGCCGTTCACATTTATGTTTTGAGTATCCTTGTTTATAATTGGGTGTGGTGGTACCAGAGGGGAAGATAACTCTAGAAGGAGCTGTTTGGTGGGAGGAGCCTGGAGATAATCCATCACCATAATAGTTTCTTTGGAATGTGTCAGTGTTCTCGTGTTCCATTGTTTCCCCCTCCCCCAAGTGTGAAGGTTACCTTCTTTCCATGTTCTCCCAGTGTTTCGGCTGCATACTTGAGCCACTTTCCTGAAATCTTTTTCTCCTTACATAGAGCTTAGTTCTTTTCTCACTCCACACAGCTAGCAGTGGACCTAAGTAACGCCCTGTATGAAGTCTCGGGAGATGTGCACTTGGGCTTGACTGACGGGGAGCAAGGAGACATTCCTTGCTTGTTGTTCAGTTGTGGGCCCAACTGAACAACTTTTGTCCTGGAGGCTTTCATGCCATGAAAGAAAAATCAAAGAAGGATTAATAATATTTTAAACCAAACCACACTTAATTTTGTTAAATGTTTCATCCTTTTCCTATGTGTACAACAAACCAATTACAGACTCAAAGTAAATGAATTGCACATTTTACTGGAGTCATCTTTAGCAGAGGAGCCACCAGTTACAGAGAATGCCAGGGGACATACAAAATTGTCTTGCTGCTTTCTTTTTGCTTAAAAATCTACTGGCATTGATATACGCTAACTAAATCGACACAGGCTTTGTCTGTTTTTTAGATATTTCGTTGTTGAGGACAGAGCACATTCTAGTTTTTCGTGAAGCTTGATATTTCTGTGTTGGAACAAGCCACACAAGGCTATTTAAATTTAAATTAATCAAAGTTAAGTAAAATAATACTTCAGTTTCTCAGTCACCCTAGCCGCATTTCCAGTGCTCAATAGCTGCTTGTGGCTAGTGGTTCCCATATTGGATAGTGTAGTTATAGAACACTTCCGTCATTGACAGCACTGCTAGATGTCTCAAGTAGCGTTAAAAAAAAAAAACCCCGCCAAAAGTTTTTACTGGTTATGAAATGTTATCTCTTTGTGAAGAATGCTCATTGCATTTGTTTTGAGAATAATATAATGCTGTATGTGTATGATGACTTGGAAAGAATCAAAGTGCTTTAGAAAGGAGAGTCCCATTTAGCTGCTGAATGACATGAGATCCTACAAAGAGTGAAGCTGAACATAGCACTTGACTATGCCAGTCCTCCTGGGCTGCTTCTGGTATGACACATCAAAGGGAGCAGAACTTGGGATTTGAAATTGATTGTGTCCAAAAGTTTAAGAAATTAAGGCTTACTTTTTAATTTTTTTTGGTTGACGATGATATTTTATTTTTTCACTTTTTTATCCCTTTAGTATTTGTAGAACTTTTCAAACCCCACCCTTTATTCTATGAGTCTTTTTTTTTAATATCCAATTTTTAAAGGTTACACTCCATTTACAGTTATTACAAAATATTGGCTCTATTCCCCATGTTGTACAATGCATCCTGGAGCCTATCTCACACCCAGTAGTTTGTACCTGCCACTCCCCCACCACAGTATTGACCCTTTGACCAGACCTTGAAAAGTTAATGGGAATGTTAGTCATCACAATAAAAAGCTGAGTAATGGCAACTGATTCTGTGCCCCCAAAGCCCTTTAGCTGTAACCTAAGAGGTGAGGAGTCAGGGTGTGCTACTAAAAACATCCATGCAGAGTCTTAAATCCCGTGGTCAGTTGTCCCAAAAGAAGTTATGATGTCTGAGATTCTGTGGTGATGATGATGTTTTCTAAGTAAGCCCCGCTCTTGGGTTTGAAGATTTCATTCTGTCTTGAATGTATTCCTATGCCCTTAGATGAACTCTAGGATACAATTAATGTTAAAATACTTTTTGAGCATTTCCTTTTATTCATTTTTAGGAAATGTTGAAAATCTAGGGAAAGAAGTATCTTGTCTATATTTTCTGAGGCCTAACTTTCCATATATTTCTAGGCTGAGAGAGGGAATCTTTTAACACAGTGGCAAATAGAGTACACACTTTAGTTCTAAATTCTGCATTAAATCAGTTTCTGCAACGGTGAATATGACCATATGCTCTAAAATCTTACTCTTTAAGGTACCAGGATTAAAGGGATATCACTTTGTTTTTTGAGATCAACTAAAGTTGGGTCCTGTATTTTGGTACTAGATTTTCTTCTTGCTCTGAATTCTCAACTGTTTACCAAGTAAGTTTAAATGGTCTGTATTCTAGTTAGCATGACTAGACACACAAAACCGTGGAAAGCTCTCCCTGCAGGGCACTGGCTGGTACATACGATGGAGGATGGAGGTCACATTGTCGATGCTGTCTACTGTGAGGCCATGTCTTGGACAGATCCTTAGGTGGCACGTGCTTGTTGATTATCTGAAAGCAGGAGCAGAACATGATGGGATGCGAGAGGGCATCTACTTCAGTCCATCCTGCTTACCAGAGAGATGAGGAGATGGAGAGTCAGGGATGTTGGGCGACTTGTCAAGTCCCACAGCTAATTGGGGTCAGAGGCTAAAGCAGGACTCACCTCTCCCATCTCGCCCATTCGAGGTTGTTCCATTCAGTCAGCTGAATTCTGCAAAGTTTTAAAAGCTGTCACGGGATACCTAGCAAATACCGCTCAGGCTGGTACTGGCCAAGGTGATGTTTTATAATCTGATTTGCCTTTGATTGGTGTTACCTTGATATAAGAATTCAGCAAAAGCCTCTCTGTGGTCATCTCTTCTGTGTGTAAATCTTTGCCACCTTGACTATTAGCATAAAAAGGATGGAATGACTTCGGACTATAGGAAATAAATCACCCCAACTTCTGACAGCAGAGTCAGAAAAAAAAGATTAATTGGTTTTATTTAGTGGCTAATTGTTTATTGTGATAGCTATTAAAAATAGATAACCAGAGGCTAATAAATGTTAATGGTCCTTTACTATTAGAAAAATCAATTGTCAGTGGATATAGCATATATTCATATATTATTTTGTTTATAATCTTCAATACGTTTAAAAAATTCACCCCTGAGAGAATGATTTCTTGAGGACTCCTTTAAGGTTAATGGTTACTACAAAGAATAAATTTGACAAAAGGATATTTTCATCTACATATGATTTTAATGGCTTCAAAGCTTTATTTCATGATTGTAATTAAATGCATGTGAAATTTGTCAAGTTTGATAAACTCCTTACCACGGACTCTTATATATATTTCTTTGAAACTTGTTTGAGAGCAGTTAGATAGATTTCTAAATGTAAGTAATTAAAATTGTATAGTATTGAGTTATTGACCAATCCCAGACTATTAATCAAGCTAAAAAATTCTACAGTCAGTGCTCAGTGCGCTGAAGCCTGGTAAAATAATCGTATTTGTGTTCAGTGAGGCAAGTAGCCACAATTAAGCACTTCACTTGACAAATGAGAGGGTACACTTTATTTTGCATGTAATTGAATTGTTGTACATGCTCGGTCACCATTGTTTCCTAGCCCTTCATTTTGGTTTCTGGTCATTGGAGCTTATGCATTTGCTAAAGGTAGAGCAATTAAGTCTGCTTTTGCCATTGGCTTTCTAAACGCAGCCAGAAATTTCTGAGCCACAAACCAAGGCTTCCTGAGCTCTGTTGATATCGCTCATGACAAATTATTAATTTTCTCAAGAAAAATTTTGATAAACAAATTACAGCCCTGTCAAGGAATGCTATGAAATAGCCTCGAATAGGGAAAACTCCCCAGGTTTTATATCACTCACCAGATTCTGCTTAAGTAAGCAGAAGAACTTCTGTAGAGAAGACAGAATTTTAATTTATTTTATGAAAACCAAAAATTGATTTCTTTCTCATGAGCTGAAAAGAATGCGCTCTGATAATCTTGCTAATTATCAGGTATTTGTCACAACTTCCTTCCATTTGCTTTTGCATCCCAGTCCTCCTGCAAGCATAGTGACATCCTGTCATTTCTGTGCTGCTATAAATCATTGCTTGCTACCAGATTAAACTGGGGAGCCGAAGTTCACGAAAAAAGACCCAGTGGATAAATATCAGTTTAGGTCGGGGCGGGGAGAGAGTAAGTAGAAGTCAGGATTTCTTTTACAAAGAAACAAATCTGGGTGCACGCCTGTGTTGGCCTGTGCACGATCACACAACCCCAAGTTGGGGGTGCGCTATAGACAGACCCCAGGACAGTCTAGTATCTATTAAAACACACATGCAGCTTGCTGACTTGCCTGCATCTTTACCTGGGACTTAGAATAAGGTCCAGAGTCACCCTAGTGTGACCTTGGCATCAAGAGCTTATTTCCTTTGAGGACAGTTTATCCTCATTTTTCTGAACTGACAAGAGATCATAACATCCGCTTTCCCTGAGAGGATTATTGTAAAGATTAAACTAGATCATTGATGTTAAAGCACTTTGAAAAGTTAAAGTGCCCCAGAATTACGAGAGACAATTACATATCTTCTCTTGTACTGTTGTGCTTCATCAAGTCTGTACTCTCAACGCTCCAATATTTGCCTGGGGGTGGGGCTCAAAACAAGAAATAGGAGTTCTTGAAATGGTATGGCTAATACCGGAAAGGAATATTCTTTGGGGAATGAACGGCTCTCATCAGCTCTGTTAATTTTGTTCGTGTGGCAACAAGTATAGCCATGAGAACCTAGCAGCCCCAGTGCTATGCTTTGTTACAGAAACTGAGAGAACGTCACCAGAACGTTTTGGCCCTTGCCTCGTGATGCTAACGTCTGCTGACTGACATAGAATGTAATGACCAGGCAGTGTCTTCATTTGTTTCAGACCGTACCAGTGCGGCCACTGCTCCCAGTCCTTTTCCCAGCCTTCAGAACTGAGGAACCACGTGGTCACTCACTCCAGTGACCGGCCTTTCAAATGTGGCTACTGTGGTCGTGCCTTTGCTGGGGCCACCACGCTCAACAACCACATCCGAACCCACACTGGAGAAAAGCCCTTCAAGTAAGTAGCGGCTCGCACCGTATCCCTTCTTTCTCTGAGCCTTTCCTGAGAGCCGGCAGACAAGGTGGCCCAGCAGTGCCTGGCTCAGCCAACTGGTGGAGAAAGCTGTTTTAGAAAGTCAGCGTCCAGGCTGCAAAAGGCCCTGCTTGTTTAGTGGTCGATACTGGGGAAATGAAGTCAGGAAATTTATACACTGATCCTGGGTTGAGCTGTGCAACATTGGACATGAGACGTTCTTTGTGGTCTGTTTTCTCACCAGTAAAATCAGGAAGTAGGAGTAAGTAACTTTAAGATTCTTTCTGGTGTCTGAGGGTCTGTGCTTCTAGAATTTGAGCTAGGAGACATGCAGAATACCATCTCTGGCCATCAGCAAGCAAGTCCCCTGACCATCAGCGAAGTGGCCACAATCGAGGACAGCTGAATGAATCGTCTCTTGGGAGATCTGAACCCTTTAGGATTCTGATGAACGATTTCCTCCTCTTTTATATTTGTTAAGGGGGTTTGAATCTATTATAGCAGCCAATTGGTAGCTTTTCAGCGTGCCCTTTGGATCTCAGACTTATCATGTTAATGCAAAAAAGAAAAACCAAACCAAACATAGGACATGTCTGAGTCCTTGAGGATTCAGGGAATGTGGAAAGAGACGGAATTCCAAGGGCTTTGGCAAGGTAAGGGCACCTGAGCGAGAGACTATGTTTCTAGATCTAGCACAGTCATGAAAACGGTGGACATCTGAATCCTGCAAGATGGTCTCTTCATTCACTCGCTCACTCATTCATTCATTCATGTATATATGTGTTCATTCATTCAGCAAATATTTATTGAACACCTTCTTTTGTACTAGGCACGCTGCTAGGCACAAGAGATATAAAGGTGAATGAAACTCAGCCCCCTAGTCTTTGAAGACCTCATAGTTTATGGGGAAGCCCAATTAATAAGCAAGTATTACCACCTAGGGTGAAGGGTGCAAAAGTGAAAAACAATAAGGCATGTATATACAGTGTTTCGGGGTAGCACGAAAGTGGAGTAATCAGTGCTATCTGGAGAAGATGATGTTTAAGATGTGTTTTGAATGATGAGTAGGAGTTTTGCAGACATACAAAGGAAAGGAGGCTTTCTGGTAGCCCATGTGGGACATGGAAAGGCTTGGGAGGGTGAGCCAGCTTGGGTGAGTGGTTGGTCATCTCAGAGCAGATTTTACTGTCTGTGTGATAGACTCTTTTTTGTTCAACTCTCTTATATCTCTCTTTCCTCATTTGCCATAATGACTTTCCTTGATTAAGGAGGAACATGAAAAGGGCATGGATGAACAGCCTGTTTACCTTCTGTAGGACAAGATCAAGCAAGAAAGGAAATGATTCAGGCAGTAGGAGGTGAATCCCCTTTCTTGGTCTCAGCCAAGGAGTCTTCCCAGAGTCTCATTACCCATGCTTTTCCCTCTGGACCTGCTGGCGTAGCATGCAGTTGCCATGGTGCTTGGCCTGAGACCGGGCTCAGCTTGGGGTGGCAGAGTCCTGCTGGTCTGGGTCCTGCCTGCCTTGGTGTCTGCCAGGAGAGGGAGAGGCTCATAAAAGGCTGTCATCTTTACCCACCTCCCCATGAATTAGTTACCTTTATTCATTATTCTTAACTGTTTTCCATCAAGGTTTAATTTATGATATTAATTAATAGTGAAAAGTTTTCATTTTTGTCTGTGTACACAGGTGGGGCTTATTTACTGCATAAAGGCATCTGGCTGAGGGCACTGGATGGGGTCTAAAAATCCAACCTGCACTACGCCAGCCAAGCTGTGCCCTCTGGGGCTGCCATAGCCCCAAGGGGCCCTTTTTTTAAATCTACCCTTAAGGGCCAGGTAGGTTAGCACAGTCCTCGAGTTCCCTATGGCAGGTGTCTGTGTCTGCACAGTGGGCTTTGTCATTTCCCCTAGGCCCTCGGGGGTTCACAGATTCTGGTTTCACCACTGTTCTAGATGTAGAAGATGACAATGGCACATTCCCTGTGCCTTTGAGCAAGAGAGCTCTTCAAAAGCAGAGACGCAGGAGGACTGACAATCCTCCTGGCCCCTTATATTAGAGAGGGTAGCCAGATGGATACAGTACCAGGAATCAGATTGATTTTTATCTTGTTGCTGTGTAAATAGATTTTAGTAATTAATTGAAGAGGTTTCAGGGTCAGCATGGGAAATAGATTTCTATTAATGTTAAGGTGTTACTTAAGTATAACCTCGTTGACTCCAGTCAGTTTTTTTTCCTTAATATCCTGTTTTTGTCCTGTTTCCAATAGAGGTGCCATTTTAACTTAATTTTAATTCATCAGATTAATATTTGAAGGGCTTTAGTACTTGTATGTTTTTCCTTTCTCAAAGTATTTTTGGGGACCATAACCTGATTTCATCTGGAAAAACAAAAAAGGAAACACCAGAGTTGGTTGGATTAGATTCACTGTGCCTGTTTTAGTTCCTCCTGCTTCTTCTCATATTAAGATAGCCATATGCTGTAGAGTTTGTTTTTTTAAATTTATAAAATGTTAAACATATTGCCAGGGGAGAACTGAGTGTACGTGTATTTTATAAGTGCAAAATTTAAACGTCTTCTAGGAAATGGAAAGCTAAATCCTTCAGTGTATACAACCAGATCATTCAGGATTGAACTACCCCAAGGGAATTTTGGGAATCTTCCAACCATAGCTCATGGATATCCATCCCATGGACATTTGTAAATATTATGAGGATATCCTTTTACAAGCCTATAAAACAAACATTCAAAAAAAGTTTATTGCAGATTAGTCAATAAAATGGATTTTGCCACAATGGTTAATTTTACTACTTCAACTAATGGGTATTGGCTGAAACAATGTTGCAAAGAAAGAAAAGAATCTTGTAAAGATACACAACCCATGCCCCAAATGGCTCAGTCCCCAAATTGTCCTACCCACCCAGGGCCTGGGAGGCCTTTGCAAGATTGTTAGGGGCCAGGCCACAACAGGGGAAAGCCTTTTCTAGCTTCTAAAATCTTCTGCTGAAAAGTGATTTTTCAAGGCAGATCAAGATTATTGCCATACAAGAAGCCTGGAGAAGATTTGGCAGTAAGAGATGAGAGTTTCACTCCAGGCTTTGTCTCACAATCTGATTGGCTGAAATGCCACTGAAAGACTCCATCCCCCATGCTCTAGCTAGATCATGGGCTTGTCAGCAGCTAACCTAGGCTGTGGATGCAGAATTTATAAGGTGAAGGAGATCATAGGAAAAGCACATATCAAAGGATCATATTGAAGTTTGTACTTTCCGTTTGTACTGTGCGGCTGGAAGTCGTGGAGAACAAGGAACAAAATCAAGACATCATTTCATCTCACAGCAATTGCCAAGCACTTTATCGAAAAGAGGAAAGAAGGAAGGAGGGAAGGAAGGAAGTTGTCAGTCTCAAACTTACTCTTTACAGTGAGAACCCCTTCTCCTTCTCTGTTACTAAACATAATCTCTCAACATCTCAGAGAGGCCGCTCTGCCCAGGATCCATGTGAGCTGCTTGATGCCTGGCTTTTGTGCCTGGGAAGACCAGGACTTTCCATAGGAGAGTTTCTTTTCTTCCTCTTCATTAGAAGCAGGGGAAATACCACTAAGTTTGTGCCTTAAGTGAAGACAGTTTGGCTCAGTATAAAAAATAATCAAAGGATTTTCCAAAGAGCATCTGATATTTTAGCAAGATCTAGGCAAAATCAAAGCAAAACAAAAAAACACATCAGTAAAATGCATGAAGCACATCATACGTACGAAGCAGTTTGGTTTCATTCAGGAAATATTTGGTGACAGGCCATAGAGGACCAGAAAGAAAGCTTCCTGTAGGTTTTCTGTGAACAGAACTTGACATCGTTTTGCACACCTGTCCGTTTCAGATGACGATTGTTAAGCTCCCTCTGTACCTGTAAGCCAGTCAACTATCACATTAAGTAAAGGATGATCTCAAATCTAAAAGGAACTCAAGTCTCATTAAGATGCCCACACTGGCAGAAAGTTGGGGAATTTCTCTTTGCTGAAATATTTGGATGGCTTTCCACTTCACTGTTCCTGCAATGTTTCCTTAAAGGCTGTGACGTCAGCACTGAGAGGAAGACCCTGTGTGCCAGAGCAGTTTTAGTCTCCTGGATCATTACCCGCATCTTTCTTTCTTTCTTATTCTGCTAAACCGCATGAAATCCAGGCTCGGAGGTGCCCATGACCAGTCACTTGGCTGGGATTGTAGTTCAGGGTTAATTCCGTGCCAACACAGCTGAAGTCCAACTCTGACCCGCCAGAACCTAAGCATTTGCATTGAGTCTGTCCTTCTGATGTGTTCCATTAAGCCGTGAAAATAATTTGTGAAGGGATTTTTGTTCTGAAATTAAAGATGATGAACATAAAACTGAGGCTCTCCCCTTATTTAAAAATATTTTTACGTCAAGTTCTCTTTACATCCTTAATTATACAAATTACATTCTTATAATTACCAACACACGTAGGTATTATTTCTAGTAGCCCACTTTCCTCAGGAAGGGGAAATTCCTAGGAAAAGGATCTAAGTTAAGGTAATTTTCTACACATCTGCACGTGTTTTTACTCACACTGGGTGAGCAGATGGCCCTAGAGATGATTTTTCAGTGATGATCTCAGGAGAGCCCTATAGACTTAGTAAATTTCCTGACTATGACAACAAATGGTTCCATGAGTGCAAATATCTGTGAGGCAGTTAGGCAAACACAGGAGAAAAATGTTAACTCCCCTCTTACTGTCTCTGCCCAGTCTGGGTGTTTAATATTACATATAGACATACACATTTGCCTTCTGTGAAGCACTACACCTCCCACTTCTGAATTCTTTATATTCTGATACACAAGATCAGAGGTGCAAAAACATGACCTCGGTAACTAGTCATAACTTACAATTTTTGAAACTATTCTGCTCTCCTTGAAATTGATTCTAGAGCTTCAAAATTTAAAAAAAGGAATATAATAATTTGAAAGTTTGTCAAGCAGTGAAAGGTAGTATATTTTGACACACTAATTTAGTAACTAATCAGTTTTCTAATAAACAATCAGCAGTTCACTAGCATGTCATCAGCACTTCAGGAGCTCTGGAGAGGGGATGAGCTGCCCATGGATGTTAATGAATACACCAAAAATCATTAGCTGATCAATACTTCTGAGTTATTTTCATTGAGCTGATAGGGCTGATACATTAAAGCTGACATTATACATTTGTCAAGATCACAGTGCAGTTTTTAACAGTGGAACAGGCTGCTAAAAATATCCCCCGAAAGACAATTGAAAAAACACAACTTCCTCATGCTGACACATTCAGCTGGTGCGGGAGCCCTGAAAAATCCAAGCATGATAGTCAAGCTCCAGCCTCCCAACGATAAAACATATGCAAGACTCCCTAGTAGGGATAGATGTGTTTTATTTTTATAGGTAATTATTTCCCTGGCAAGGCACTTTGTATAATTTACTCAAAAGGAAAAAGACAGGGCTGCCTACCGGGTAATGGGGCACGTGGCAAGTGATTGGGCGTGTGTGGATTTTCTTCTGATGGCTTTACCACAGCCCTACTAGTGCAGGGACCTGAGACCGGAGGTTGCATTATTTAAAAGAAGAACGACTGTCTGCAGCTCTCCTGAGTATCTTTTCCTTTTAAGGTTTCAGGAGAGGACATTAGGGGGAGCGCTGAGGGGGCTGCTGTACCCCAGTGGGTGCTCGGCCAGTGCTCCAGGCAGCCCAGACAAGTGGAATAGTGACAGGGAAGCCACTGTCCGTGCCCAGCTTGCTGCAGCAGTGTGCGTGTATGTGTGTGTGTGCGTTTTGAAGGTTGTGTAGCCATCAAGCTAGTCGGTGTGTGTTGCAGGGAAGATGGCTTAGGCCCAGGGTCTCTAGGTTAGCATTTTTTTTCAGTTAAGGAGAGGAGGAGATATTCCTGAAGTGCGATGCCAGTGTTCTCCTTATCAGACACACCAGCCCTTAATTACGGCCCACGTGTACATTCTTCCTGCTGTACCTTGTAGAGGTGAATTTGAAGCACACAAACATTGGTTGATTTCGGGTTTTTCTGAGTCCCCTATCCCAATGCAAACATTTTTTAACCCTAACTTTGGTGGAGCTGTGATACTCTAGCTTTTGCCCAAAAGCGGTCACCCACACCCACCCGCCACAGTCACTGAAAACTAATGCACTGCTTCTTCCAGTTTCCGTATTCAAAGATATGGCTCTCTGGCTGCTGTGCTGAGGGGAGTAGAAGTCCCGATTTTAAATTAGCAGCAGGTGAAATTCTATTTGTCATCAATTTCTCTTTGGGGTTACGGAGCAGAAAACTGCAGACAAGCTGCTGCTTTGATGGCTCACTCCTAAAAATCTCTTTTTGTTCTTTATCTATTTGAACTGACAGTGATCAGAGCTGCAGCAGGACAGGGCTCTCTGGAGAAATCACCTTCCCTCTGCCTATTGACAGATCCCTCTGTTCTGCATCAGCCGGGCTTTGTCCCATCACAGGCATCCAGGCCTTGGAAGGAGCCACCAATTAAACCTCTTGAGCCGGTAAAATCTGAAGCCACTTTGGAGTGTCTGTTCTGATTAGGCAGGATGAGAGGAAGTCCATCAACCTGCAGGCCCTGCTCCCTGGTCTCAATTTTCTCTCTTGCCTCCACCAGGTGCGAGAGGTGTGAGAGGAGCTTCACGCAGGCCACCCAGCTGAGCCGACACCAGCGGATGCCCAATGAGTGCAAGCCAATAACCGAGAGCCCAGAATCAATCGAAGTGGATTAACTGATTGACTGGTTGGAATTAAACTTCAAGGAAAGTCATGATTAAATGTCACGGACACTTAAGCAAAACCAAAGATTTCCTCTGAGCAACTTTCAATCAGTCCCGGAAAACCAAAAGCAGTAATAAAATAAGTAAGATGTTAAGAGATATTGATCCTGGCGTGGAAGTCAGACCAGGAGAGAGATTATTTATTTATGACTAGGGATGAGACTCATTTCAGTGGACAACTAACCTGGGATGGCTCACATTTCCAGTCCCACCGTGTATTTGCTTTGTTTCTAAAAAGCTTTTTTAAACTGTTATTTAATACCAAAGGGAGGAATCGGATGGGTTCTTCTGCCCACAGTTGTGACTAAGAATGCACAGGGACTTGTTTCTCGTTGCACCTTTTTTAGTAGCATGATTCAAGGGGACCCATTGTACAGCCCTCTTCCTGCTGTTTCAGATTGGCCTGGCCTGCCTCAGGCTGCCCAGCAGGGACCACAGATTCGGGAGCCAGAGCCTTCGCTGAGTCCAGGCCATCTTCAGCCCCATGGGTGCTCCATTTCTGTGTTTTCCACACTTATTATTTCTCGTGCACTTTTCTCACAGCTCCTTCCATCCAGCAGCCTGGTCTTGATGCAGAAGAACCTGGAAGTGGAAGAAGATGGTTTAAAATTCAAAATTCAAGGGGAAATAAAAAATGGGGACTTAACAGTGTCCTGTCAAGATTTCAAAAACATTTAAAATGTACGGAGCTTCATAATACAGTATATTGTTCTGAAGCAGCTAGTGAGAAAATTTTGTTTTCAATAACATTTTAGCTTAAAAAAAAACACGAAAATAAAGTTCTTCAGTATGAGGCTGAATATAAGGTATTAGGCTTCCAGTAATTTTTTGTTGTGTCTATGCAAGTGTTGAATATGTGAGCAAAAACAGTGCCAAGCCCCACTGTCAAGACCATTCTAGGCACTTTCATCTTCCTTCCTCGTACCTCCAGGGGAAGCCTGGGAGGCCCTCCTGAGTGTGGGGCATTTCTGCAAAAAATAGGTGAAAATAGGCCAGACAAGGAAACCTTGAGAGGAGGAGCCACGGAGAGGGTTGTGGTTAGAAAAGACCGCCCTGAACAGCTAATTTTTTCAAGAGGAGTTCCCTTCTCATCCCCTCCGGCCCTTGATAATATTCTTCTTTCAACACTGATCCACTGAAAGAGAAAGGAGTATGTACACAGTTTCACTGATCTTTGATTGAGTGCCAGGAAAATGGGTGTCACTTCAGCTACCCTTTGGGCAATTTAGCAATGGTGCTCAATCAAATTGTGTCGCATTCCACACAATAATCCCACATCAGGAAGAACTGACGGCTCTTGCATATTAGCCATTAACTCCCAGCAGCATCACGAAGACCGAGTGTACCTTGATGGCCGGTGTAAATCTGAACAGTTTAGAGTACTTACCAGCAGCCATCTCTTGTTTGTAGATTTCTTGGTCACCTGATAGCAGGACACAGCCCGTTAAGGAACTCCTTGTCTTTTTAGCCTTGCCATTGTCTTCTCTTAGCAAAAATGTGAGACACATAACAGAACTGGCCACTGAGAGGCAAGGATAGCTGTGGTTTGGTTTAATCTACCATCATGTATTTTGTCCTCAGAAATCTTCCTCTTCTTTCCATTTCACTCCCTCATCCCTTAGCACCCATCTGCCACATTTAAAATGGAGTGAAACGGGGCCTCACTAATTGTGTTTGTAACTTATTGATATATGTCTCAAAATAATGTCTCACAGAGGAATTTGGCTAATTCTGACCTCCGTTGCCCAATCTGAAGTCGTTCCGATTTTCCCCCATTTCTTGCTGTCTCCTTGTCACGGAAGTAGTAAGCAATCTGTGCTGCTGTGTAACTGTTTCTGATGGAAAATATTTTCTTCGGTAGATTGGAATGTGTTTTGCTTTTATAGTTTCTTGCCCTAAGTGATAGAGAAGTTTGACAAAAGTGTGAGCCATTGGGAAGGGTGGAGAGAATATGTAGCCATATTAACCCAAAATCTGCAAGAAAGTGACAGACTGGCTATACAGATGAGCAAGCTGCTCCATTTATTCAAGTTGAAACATTTGGTTGTACTTTTTCAAAATGATAAGGGACTCATCTGTATGTTTCTAATACTGTTTTCAGTGAGAAAAACCAGTTCTGCCTTTTGCCTCATTTCACAGTTTTACACAGTGCATCCCACCCTGTGCTCATGAGCTCCCACGCGAGTATAAGCCTTCACTCCAACCTTGATACCCCGCCTGGACAGAGTCTCCATAACAATGGTCTCTACCACTCTAGTGGCTTTGCCAGCTGATCCCAAAGTCCCACTTAATATGACGGTAAACTCTATACTGAAAGATTCTTCTAGCCTTCTGCTCATTTAAGTCTCTTTTTCTCCTTTATTAGTAAGGGCAACTTTTAGCATGTCTTTTCTACCAAATTTGGTCTGAAAATATTTGCTACTGAACAAATAGAAAATTGGGGACATTCAAAATTTTCACATTGCTGAGCCATTGCTGACTTCTAGCAGACTGGCCTTGGCCATCAGTCTACAGGTAAGATAGGCCTATACCTGCCAATTGACTTGGAGCCCTGAAGCGGGTACCGCCATCGCTTGGGTCCCAAATGCTCTTAATTGAAGCTGGGGGTGGGGGGCAGTTCTCCTTAAAACCTCCCAACAATTGCTTTAGCCTTTTCTATTTAAAATTGACAGATATTTCCTAGGGACACTGCAAATGGGTGGTAAACACTGCAGTCATCAAGATCTGTCAGTTTTCTTTATTAGCAACTTCCTAATTAATCATGGTATAAAAAGAAAAAAAGAAAAACTCTGAGTCATTGAGGAGAGGGGAGGATATCTAAGATGAGAAAGGGAGACTGTAAGAGCTGAATCCGTGTTTGGCTTTTGGAGCAATCGTTTTTTGCCCCTTTCTATCAATGGGGACTGAATTTTTTTTTTTTTTTTCCCCGCAATAAGACATACCATCCTAGCACATGCCAGTTTGTCTAGCTAAGAGCCTAAGCTAATGGGGGTGATTCCAGGTGGGTGTGCAGACATCACATTTCTAGAAAAATCTCAGTAACTTTAGGTAAAGCTGAATATTTTCCCCAGGAAATGTGCGTAAATTATTTTAAGATAAGCTTTGCGTTTTGGTTGTCTTTGTCTTTAAAAATGACTTTTTTTGGAAGAGATATGCTTTTATAGAGTTGTGTGGATAGTTAAAACTATAAAACTCAATCTTGTGTAATTTATATAATTTGATTCAATTAGTAAATATTTATTGAACGTCCATTCAAGTATAGCCTTATGGGGGAAAACTGTGTATAATAGAGAAGGTTTACGGTACACTAGCGTCCTCACAGGGCTTACAATTTATTGGATCGTACTTTGGGAAAAGTTCATTCTAGTCGAGATAAACAAAGATTTACTAACATTTACCAACTCATCAAATTTTTTTTGTCAGTTGATTGGTTCATTGTTTCATTTATTCATCAAGTATTTATTGAACTCTTATTTTGTATAAAGACCCCATTTTAGGTGTTCACTGTAAGGAGTTTTACTTAATTGAATATTGGCGAGAAAATAATATTCTCCCCCTAAGCGTCTGGCTAATAGCATGGGCCTTTTAGGCCTTTAGACCATTGTCTCAGTGAAGTTACAGAGATTGCTACAACTGGGAGAATCAGAAAGATGTAAACTCAGCTGGGGACCAGAAGGTAGCAAATTTCAAAACAAATTAAGATACACAACTTGGACTTCTTTGGCTGATCAGCCCCACTGTTGGTTCTTAGCAACAATCTCAAGATACCAGGATTAGGGTCTGGGTCTTAAGATTTTTATGACCCTATTCCAAGTGATAAGGTAACAAATGGGGACAGGGCTGGAGTTACTCAGGGCAGGAGCTCTGCAGACCCTGTGTGAGTCTGAGTGGCCTTGTGAGTGTCAAGCCTTGGCAATGCAGCCCTTGTCCCCAGTGTGTGGGCTGTGGTGCTCTGAGAGGTTTCAGAGAGCACCATCAGGGTGGATATTCACTGCTGGTTGAAAGGTAGCAGTTGTTTGGTTAAGTTTGTTTTTGAACCTCACTGTCAAGCTCTTTATGCGCTAAAGCTGGAGGATCTTCCTCTTCAGTGGCACCGCCTCCAAGGCCCCAGGTGCCTGGCACATCATTGCAGAACTAATTGCTAATAATTGGCTCTGAGTTGTGCATTTAAGAAACTGATGTTTCATTGCTTTTCACAGTAGAAGTAGCATCATTACTGTTATTTGTTTTGCACCAATTTTAAAAATCAAATGCAAGTGGCTGTTGAGTCATTTAAAATGGGAAACGTGGCACATCTCACAAAGCAGGGCATTTCCGGAGCAGCATGGGGTCATGGGTCCTCCTACAGGCCCGGGAGCCTGTGTTGAGAAGCAAATCCATCATCCTCATATTAAGGCTACATATGTCTACAGAAACCAGGCCAGGAACAACAAATAAACTAAATAAACACATTTTCAAAAAAGTTGGTTTCAATTTTCCTTCCTTGACGTGAATTTAATTTCATTCCCCACAGCCTTTACCAATTCCTGACACCAAATCCTGAAAGATACTAAGAGATATGCTTCTTTAAGTGATAACAGTAGGTTTCAGAAATGTCACTCATCTGTCAAGTTCCTTTCAAGGTGAGGAGGTTTGGGGACATTTTATGAAGTGACAAGATGTTTAGGTCCTTATCCACCCAAGAGTTTGAGGCTTTCCCCATCACTAGTACTTATCTGAACTACCACAGAATAAGAACAGAGTCCCAGGAAAAGCCACATATTTCAAGCCTTCTCAAGATTAAATTCTACAAACCCAACAATCACCTGTCACATACAACTGGCCAAAGAGAGCCAAACTGAAAAGAATATTGCTTTATCTATGGAAGCCTTGCCATAGATGTTTAGCCTGTAACCCACAGTTGTGTTTAACATTTAAAATATTTATTTGATTTATTCTTTTAAGTAATGTATGTCAGATGTTTCATCAAATCAATATGAAAAATGATAAAAAAACAAAAATATGCCATAAAACAGGGCAAAGACATAAAACCATTGAATTGTCTGCCCTGTATACTGAGATGCTGCCATTGTACTTAGGGTTACAAAAGAATCTGCTGAGTATATTTTAATGGAAAAATAAAATCTGAGCTTATTCCCTCAGATGTCGGGAATAATAATAATGATAGTAATTTATATTGTGCAATCGCTGTCAGGCACTGTTCTAACTGCTCAACATGGATTATCTAATTTAATCCTTGTAACATAGGTACTATCATTATCCTTTTCTCCTATATACTTAATCTTATCTTAGCAGCTTTACATTTTCACCCTCCAAAACCACACGACAGTAATTTTTTAAAAGGGAAAATATCTCTTTATTCAAACTCTTTTTAAGCCTATGAGCTTTTTAAAATAAACAAACACAAGTATAGTTCATTTATCAAATGAATTTGTGGAAACAATACTAAAATATTCTCAAAATATGCATTATTATAGTTGCTGATTTTGTATCTCTAAATCTGTGCTTCTGGACAGCAGAATTTCAAATATCCCACTGCTGGCAGGTATTGTTTTATTTTTCTAAACATGCAACTAAAATTCCACAGTAAGAGAAAAAAAATCCTCTCAAGTGTGTGATACACATTAGGACAAATGGCAAGAGGCAGGAAGGCAGGTTATGTTGGACACTGGCCAAAAAAGAACTAGGCTTGAACGCTATTGACAAGTGAAAACACATCCTGAACGGGGCTAAGTGAAATCTAGTTTTCTTTCTTTGCTCCGACTGA